GTGTGTATATATATATATATATATGAAAAGAGGTAGGCAGGTAGGCAGGTAGGCAGGTAGGCAGGTAGGCAGGCAGGCAGGCAGGTAGGCAGGTAGGCAGGTAGGCAGGTAGGCAGGTAGACAGGCAGGCAGGCAGGCAGGCAGGCAGGCAGGTAAGTAGGTAGGTAGGTAGCTAGACAGATGGATGGATAGATAGACAAACTGACAGACAGACAGATAGACAGACAGACAGATAGATATATAGATAGGTACGTAGATAGGTAGATAGGAAGATAGGTAGATAGGTAGATAGGTAGATAGGTAGACAGACAGATGGCAAGATAGGGTGCTGCTGTCGTAAAGGTATGGGAGCGGGTGGCCCTGCGATCTTTGCAGAAAGCTCTTGGCCATCCTGCCGTAGAGCTCCGACGAGTGTTCGCGAGTGGAGGGCCCTTCCGCCCATCGAGTGTTTCGCCACCATCGGGATCCTCAGGTTGCGGGTTTAGGGTGAAGGGTCAGAGATCCCAAAGCCGGAAAAAACGCCTCGGAACCCTCAGCAGTCAGCAACCCCTCGGTTGCTTCATCCCTCAGCAAGTCCAAGCTTTGCCCACACTGCCAACACAGCTCGGGACTCAAATCAAGCTTCGGATGCGATCTTTCGGCCGCACTGCCTTGAAGGAGCCTGGGCATGTCTTTCCGAAGGGTTCGCTCTTGAAGACACGACAGCTTCCCATGTTCCAGCCACTCCAGCCAGGTGACAGTTCATGCTGCCGGAACAAGTCATCCAAACGGGTCATGATCTCCCGGTGTCGGATCTCGAACATACCCTGCGCAGGACAGGGAGGGCAGCTGCCCAACCACAGCAGTTGACTGAAACGTCACTGAAAGCACCACCATTCACTTGCACCCTGCCTCGGAGCCATCGCCCTGGACATCGACCTGAGCTGGATGCCCCGCTCGAACAAAGATGCTACCGACTTCGATGCATGGCAATCATCTCTTTTGTTGGTGTGCAGACTTGCCCGTCTTTCCTGTTGTCATGATTGTTATTGTTCTTTGGTATCATCGTAGAACCTGTGTTCCAACGATTTGCAGTACTGCTATTGCTGTCGGCTAAAACGTTCATGCCACTAAGCACAATCTTCCTACAAGGGCCACTCGGCAACGACGCCAGCGGATCCGCGCTCTCGCGCATGTGGCTTCTGAGCAAAGGTGTCTTTTCCCCATGAAAATGTTGCTTCTTGAAGTTGACACAGGCAACATCAAACAGGCGACGAAGTTTACGGAGATGCCTTTGCTCAGATTTTAAAGTTGGAGATGCTGTTTCCCTCTGCAAAATATACTGTTTTGCAGTCTTGTATGGTTTGATACTGGAGTGGCATTGGCACAGTTTCGGCCTCTAGTGGTTGTATAATTCCGTTTCGAGGTTTCCGGTTGCAGGGATCTCGGCTGAGGCAGCATAGTTTTGCACGTTGGATTTCTGGCGAAAAGTGGACTTGTACCGGGTTTGAAAGTTCAACTTTGCTTGGAGGAGACAAAAGCTCACAGGCAAGTAAGTCCCGGTTGGCCTTTCCCCAGCATACGTCATTGCTCCATTTCTTCAACTTGTCATTGGCTTGTGTGGGAAGAGCAGCGGTGTTGAGCGGTCTTTCGAGTGCTTGCATTCTTTTCGGAGTTTCGCCTGGAGCATTGTGATTCACATGTGTATAAATATATACATAAACATATACATATACAGATACAGATACAGATACATAGACATATACGTACATAATTACATATATATATATATATATATATGGTTGTGCGCTGTGCGTTCTCCCCCCCCCTCCCCCTCTCCCCACCCCTCCCCATGGTATCCCCGCAACACATGGGTTTGGAGCCTTCGGCACCTGTGCGGAGGCCCTGTTCCACAGAGAGAGGGGTTTAGGGTTTAGGGTTTCAATTCCGAAGCTCGAAGACCCCAGCCGTTCCACGACGGGGGGAGGGGGCGTCACACGCAGAACCATTGGAGGAAGGCCTGAACCAAACCACCCAACCATTCCACGCGCCTCAAGGCCCAAGCCGTTCGACAGGGGCGGAAGGGGGGATGACCAAATCGGGAGATATCATTGGGGGGGCAGGTGGGGGGGGGGTCCCGTCGGGGCGCAACCATATATGCTCTCTGGAAAAGCCAGGACATGGACGGAGCAGTGTGAGTGGTCGTAGCAGTAGTAAAAATAGTAGTAATACTACGAAGATCTTTTCGGAGTTTCGTCTTCAACCCTCCCTATAGAACACAGGTCCCAAGAAACAAGCATCAGAATCACCATCATCGTCAAATCAGCACACCATTAAGCCGGAAGGCTTAACCACAAATGATAAGGAAATCTTAGAAGCCGCGGATGGGATTGTGCAGGAGCAAAAGAACGGAAGCGGGCTCCTCCCCGAGCCCAGGAAAACCCTGACAAAGAAGCAAGGCAGGTCGGTTGTGGTTGCGTTGGCACAAGCTAGCACCTGCACCCTTCTCCAGTGCTGTGTTCATTCGACTTCGAGCGCGGTCAAACATTTTTGCAGGGACCAGCCCTCGCTAAGGCTCGACAAAGATCTTCCAACGTAGTGCTGACAGTCATGTTGGATGAATTATGAGGGAATGAATGCGGATCACCTGCAGAACCAAAAACCCTTCCCAAACCTAGACAGCGCCGAAGGCAATGGGGCTGTTTGCAATTCCTGAACCCTAAACCCGAAACACTCTGCCGGAAGTTCAGGGTTTTGCTTGAGAAGTTGTTGTTATGGGCATTTTCACCTAGGGCTCACCGTTTGAGATCATGGTTTAAGGTTTTCGGTACAAGTAGGAGTTTAGGATTCGCAGCATCTCAAACCCTAAATGCTCTAAACCCCTAAACCCGGCCATTGGGAGAAAGAGAAGCTGTCCGAGCTCCGAGCCACCTTCTGCCCCTTCAGCGCGCTCGAGACTGCCATTCACAGAGACGAACGTCGCGCCAAATCGCTGGCACCAGGTGGATGTAAAAACTTAAAACCAGCAAATGTTCGAATTAAGCCAGGATGGTCAACACGATACAGCCGCAAGCCTTTGGTCGTAATTTTCTCCGAGTTCAACTATCAGGAAACATACAGCTGGGCTGGCTTCGCTCTGGTTGGTTAGCATTTTAGCGGGGGCAATCGTGTCATCCAGTCTACGGCGGCAAAGGCCTGAGCCGAAATTTCCAGCACAGTCACACGACCTTTACAATCACACGGCTGAGCCTCACCGGACATGTCTGCCTGAGATTCCTCCCAATAAGCGACACAATCAAGATGCCGACTAGGTGCAGGCTCGCAAGCCCATGCTGTGGGTCGCCGAGGTCAAACGGCGGGCACGGGCTCGCATGCAAGCATCAGGCAGAATGTTAGCTTGTCGCTTGCATGCTTGAGCCGCGAGGCTGTCGGCAGCATCCAAGTTCAGCTTGGCAACTTCTATCCAGACGACGCCCTCAGCTGTGGCAAGGCCTTGAACCTCGCGCTAGGCTGTGGCCGGCCAATAGACTGGGTGCCCCGAACCCCGTCGGAAGACTGGCGCTGCTCGACTCTGCACCTCGAATTCCAGGTGAATCGTTCTGAGGTCCAGCACCCAGAGCCTCCGAGGCGGCGGCCAGGTTTTCCAAGCTTTGAGTCCGCTGCCGGCGAGAGAACAGGTTGTGCCTGCAGGCTGAACATTTCAGCTCAGTTTTCTGCACTTGCATGCTCCTGACGCCACGACATCGTCGTAACAGAGATACACGACGGCTCTAAGCCGCAGCAACGGCTACGTTTACGCAAAGCATTCGCAGCTTGCAAAGCTGAGCGCCGGCACCACACACGACCAGTCCTCGAGCACGACAACAAGATGCAGATGGGGGCTAGTCGAAACATGCAGGCGCCGTGTCCCAAAACCGAATCCCTACTGCCTTTGGCTGCCTTGCACTTCAGGTTTTGAAGGTGGTTGCAGAAAGAGGAGAGCTCCACAAAAAGACTGTTTGCAGGACTCGAAATCACCTAAACCCTGAACCTCAAACCCCGAAACCCTAAACCCTCAACCCTAAACCCTGAACCCGAAACCCTTAAACCCCTCAACCCGAAACCCAAAATACCCCCGGCGCCGGGTCCAGGTCCCCCAGGCAGCACGCAGCTGACGCAGGCCCGCGCGGCGACCCTAGGCTTTGAGGGATTTGGCGCTTAGGGTTTAAGGTTTAGGGCTGCAGGGGTTTTTGGAAAGTTATGGCGTCTTGACACGTGTCGTCAATTCTCGATGCTGCCACTGCTACATGTGAGGTTATTATCATTCGTCCGCTGTAATGGTCACTCATCGCTCGTGACCATTACTTCTGCTGCTGCTGCTGCTGCTGCTGCTGCTGCTGCTGCTGCTGCTGCTGCTGCTGCTGCCACTGCTGCCACTGCTGCTTCTGCTGCTGCTCCTGTCGCAATACTACTAGGACTGATGGTTATCGCTCTTATCCCGAATAACATCTTCGTCAGCACTCAACCTATTCGTGCCACTGCTATCAATGCTGCCAGTAAGACCTTCACTGTGTCTTCGGCTCCTTTATGATCATGAAATTCCGGATTTGAAGGAGCAGCAAAGGCTGAGTAAAGGATGGGAAAAACTGATGCTAGCCAGGATCCAAGCCGAACCTGCTGTGAACATACTCACTATGAGAACATGGGTCGACGCCGCTGTTGGCTGAAATAGACACAGAGTTGAAGACAATCTGCAGCAACGCCTCCGAGGACTTTGCACATGACGGAGCCCTCCACGATTCATTGTCATCTGTACAGCTCCACCCCTGGACTATACAAGGTGGTCCCTTCCCGTGAGGCCGGCACCACGAAATCCCCTGGGTACGGGCAGGTCCGAGACAGGCTAGCCAACTATCATGGCGAGGTGACCAGCTTGGGCCACAATTGAGAGTCTGGAAAGCAACTCAAGTTATGGCTAGCCTGCTTCGTCCCTGTTCTGGCACACTACTGGCCACCCTGGCGACGGCTGCCTGCTGTACACGGGAGGCTTGGCTCTGTTTCTGCTGAAAGTTCCCTCCAAGCCGCAGGACCGGCTCTTGGGAGATGCGCTTCCCAATATAATAAATATATATATATATATAACATATACTATATATATATATACTATAGATACTAAAAATACTTAGGATACTATATAAAAAAAATCATACAGCACGGGAAGGCGTCTCTGAGCCGGCCTTGCGGGAGGCCACCATGTGGTGCACGGGGAAAATGCAGCAGCTGTGCGCCAGTACGAGACAAAATCGTAGACCAGCAGTGGTTAGTTGCTGTGAGCAATCACATTTGCCTGAGGTTGCCACTGGGACACACTGGGACAGCACATAACGGTACTAAAAGCTGCATGCCAGGGTGACACAGGAAGGGTCTGAAGTGGCGCCAAGTCGCTCGAATCAAAGATGCTGTGTCTGAGCTCATCAGAACTTTCCCTCGCTTCAGCGGCCGTTGCCTCAGGCTCGGGCATGATCGACTCTGCCGTTTGAGTCACTTCTGAGTCACTTCTGCTCTGCGATGCAGCTCGGCGGCACTGAGCCGGGACCGCTTTCGCCGCGCAAGTGCCTGCGGCGCAGCAGCCGCTGGCACAGTCACCTCAGCTCAGCTTCGGATCGCTTCTCTGGAGATGGCTAAGGCTCAGGCCCTCTCCGCTATTTGCAACTCCTGGCAAGTCGAGTCGCCGTTGGCAGAACAAGCGTCTCCAAGCTTCAGCACTGCATCGCCACAAAGGCTGGGATTGCCACCGGGTGTGCACTTGTATCTTCCATCATCACTCCACTGTTTACTGCAACAGCCGTTGGCGCAGTCGCTGTTTTGAGTGCAGAAGACCCAGTCCGCAAGACGGTTGCCCGTGCACTGGCTGCCTCCGGGCGTGCACTTGTACTTCTGGTCGTCACTCCACTCGTTGCTGCAGCAGCCGGACTCACACTCCCCGTTCACAACGCAGAAGTACCAGTCGGCCTTCAGCTTCGGCGAAGTACTCTCCAGCTCAGGCCAGGAGAAGACTGACACGGTCTTCTGAGCGGCATCACTTTGCAAGGAGAAGCCCTGCCAGAAGTCACCCTCCGCCCAAAACTCGAAGTCCTTGTTGTTTTCCGGACGCATAAGCTCCCAGGGCATGAAGGGAACACCCAGTTCGTTGGCCACTTGCAGGATGGGAATCATTTGCCTGGCCTTTTCAGCGTCTGTGCCATTGATACCGAACTCCTGCAGCCTCACCCTCTTGCCTTGGCTCACTGCCCAGGTGGCTGCGATCTCAGAAATCTTCTTGATGTCGCAAGCGCTGGTGCTGTAAGTGTGGATGTCCACGACCTCAGAGCTCGTGAGAGCACTGAAAGCAGTTGGAAGACTCTACGCTGACTTCGTTGCAGAAAGGCCGCATCGATCTCTGGGCAAACATACAGCTGGTGATATAATGCATCTTCAAGGTCGACAGACCCTCCAGTAGAAACCGCGATGCTGGGATGCATGTGGGCCTGGGACATCACAAGGCAAAAAGGCTGGCAGCACGCTATAAGAGGCAGTCTGGACAATCTCATGCTTTTTAACTATAAGATGCCTTCATAACTTGCGCCCGACGGCACCACCAGCCCTTGTCCACCGACCTCGGATGGATAGCCAAGAAGCCCTGTGCCGGCAAGTCTGAGTGACTTACATCTTCGCTAATACAAAAAAGTACACACTAAACGCTAAACCCTAAACCCTAAACCCCTAAACCCTAAACCCTAAACCCCTAAACCCTAAACCCTAAACCCCTAAACCCTAAACGCTAAACGCCAAGCTGCCAGATGTGGCCCTGCGCTTCGTTCTGAGGCGCAAAAGAAGCAACGACCTGTCCCGGGGTGTAGGAGAGGGTCCATATATACTACTACTATGGAATGAGGTCCCCAAAACCATAATAAGGTTTAGGGGAGACAGAAGCAAGGGCAGCAGGCCTCATGCAGGTTGCCCCAGCTCTTCTGGAAGTGAGGGTTCCTGGTTGTAAGCCGAGTTGGGCCCGGGATGCTTGTGAAATCGTTTTAAACATGGAGTGAGCGCCCAGCAAAAGACGTGGGTTTAGGGTTTAGGGTTAGGGTTTAGGGTTTAGGGTTTAGGGTTTAGGGTGACTTTGCAAGGTGCTTCCAAGCTTCCAGTGCTGCAGAATGTGCACGAGGCGCTCATCAAACTTCGCCTTGTACGGTGGGTAAGCACGTTTACATATAAATGGTTTAGGGTTTAGGGTTTAGGGTTTTAGGGTTTAGGGTTTTAGGGTTTAGGGTTTACATAAAAACGATTGGTGTGATCTGCCAGTGTCTGTTTTGAATGTCCCTGCCAAGCGCCTAGCGGCCTAGCGGGCCGGTCGCATGGCAACGGCTCGATCCAGCAGGCGAAGGAGGATGCACTTGTGGCATGGTGTACCCCGCGAGCCCAATACCCCTTAATTAAGGAATATACCTTAAATCATAATATTAAGACCCCAATAACTTAGGGTATATTCGTTAATTAAGGGATATTGGGTTCTCTGGGTAATAAGTATTCCCGGAAGCCCCCTGCTCTTGGTGCTTTCAGTGCGACCTGGATTTCTGGATCGGTGTAGAAGCGGTCCACTTGGTTCTTTGCAAAGACGCACTTGCAGCAGCCGCTGGGCAAGCTGTACTTGGATACCTGGGAATCTGTGGGAGGCTTGGGGTTGGCCCTTGCATGATGCGGTCTGCTGCTTTATCCGTCTGAGCTGACAGCATCTGAGGGGATCAGATCAAAAGGAACTTCTTAAACGGGCGAGCAACGTAGGCATCTTCCCTCCAACAGCCCAGGGAATAGCGATCGTGAAGGGCAATGTCAAGCCTCTGTGGAATTCACTGGATCACACAAATACTGCAAAGGTATCAAACATCATCAAACTTTACACGGTAGCACCGAGCAGCTTGATCCCGCGCTCGTGCGCCTTGGGCAGAGATGCGCGAATCGACAACTTTTCTCGCATGCGCAAGCTGCAAAAGCAACCCCTGCGCTCCAGGATGCTTCACCAGGTCCGAGAAGCGAAGCTGAAGGACTGTGAAGCAGGACCTCCTAAACCGTCCTGAAACCCAAAGCCCCAAACCTTAACTTCACCCCCTAAGCCCGTATGAAGCCGCCCTCAACCCTAAACCCTCAACCCTAAACCCCTAAACCCGAAACCCCTAAACCCTAAACCCCTAAACCCTAAACCCCGAAACCCTAAACCCTAAACCCCTACAGCCGAAACCCCTAATCCCCTAAAGCCGAAACCCCTAAACCCCTGAACCCGAAGCCCTGTTTAGGAGGGGCCCCTTTGAAGTCAACCTGCCAGGCCTCGAGCATCAGGTCGTCCACGAGGCTCAAGATGCGATCGTCGTAGTTGCCAACCTCCCGAGTCTCCAGGTCCTCCACCGCCTGATAGATAGATACATATACTATACATGAATTATGAACTGCAATATGCTTTGCATGTCATATGTTATATATATATTATGTAATATGTGTATGTACATATATATATATAGTAATGTGTATATATATATATACATGTAATGTATGATGCTTCAGATATTAGATACTACGTACTATCTTTATATACTCTATACCATAGAAGTTATGTTGTACTATGGCATATCATGTCGTATTATATTATAGCATTATATCACATGTATGTTGTATTATTTAACAGTAGGTCATATTAAAATGTTTTGTATTCTACTATGCTAAGCATACTACATGTATGTATATATAGATAGATAGAT